ATGGCGAATCGTTTGAACAGTGGTTTTCAAAAATTTTACCGAACTTAGAGGAAAACGCAGTAATGGTGTTGGATAATGCGCCTTATCATTCTCGAAGAATGGAGAAGGTCCCAACAACGGCTTCAAGGAAAGTTGATGTTCAAAATTGGCTCCGCTCGAAAAATATCAACTTTGAAGAAGCAATGCTGAAAGTACAATTATTAAGAATTGTCAAGGATCACAAGGCGGAATATCAAAAATACGCCATTGACGAAATGGCAGCAAGTCAAAATAAAACTGTGCTCCGTTTACCTCCATACCATTGCGAGCTCAATCCCATTGAGCTCATATGGGCAGAGGTTAAAAATTATATAGCTAAGCACAATACAACTTTTAAATTTTGTGACCTCAAAGGACTTTTCAAAGAAGCACTAGAATTAATAACAGCGCAAAAATGGGAAAACTGTATTAAGCACGTGAAAGACAAAGTTGAAAAGAGAATGTGGGAACTGGACAATATTTTAGAGGAACAAGTCGAGCCATTCATTATTGACGTTGGTGCTTCAGGCAGTAGCGATGATGAAAGCTCATCAAGCTCATCTTTCCAATAAAATATGTCGTTCATCAAATTTGGTAAGTTATAAGTAATTATAAAGCTACTGTATTTTTTAATTAATTATTGACATTTTTGAACCCATTTTGGCAAAACCTATTCAAGAATCTACTTTCTGACAATGTTCAACCATGCACATTTTTTTACGTTTTGAACGTTTTAATTTGGTTACATATTTACCTAGAAATCAAAAAATATACTAATCAATATTCTAAAAGCAATTTTAAGAGATATACAATTATTTTTAATTTAGGCTAATTTAAACGCCATTTTGAGATTATATTCGACTGTATTTCACCAAACATCAGGCGGCATCCGAAGCTGGAAATCGAAGCGAAAATTTTGAAACCCTTATGTATATTTACATCATTATATATTTCTTACCCCACCCCACATGATCCTATATCCATCACCAATCGTATACACATCGAATTGTGCTAATTTACTACAAAGTTACGCAAAGCAGCATCTACTATCTAAAATATGTACTGCGTGACTCTTAATACGTCCCTGCCGAATGTTACAGTGTTCGATGATCACGTGGTCTTGTTTATGTCCGGTCTATCTCTTATCTGAATATACTTTAGGACTAATATATTTCCCGTGATGTGGAAGTTATCCATAGTGTGTCCTGCTCTCCAGAGTGGTGATAATTCAGCCGTTAAGAGCTATCTTTCTATTTCTGTCATACTCATTTTTGCGATTGTGGATCCACTGTTAGGAACCTGCTTATTTTAACTCGGATTGACTGGATCTACAGATGGAGTTGAAAAGTGTTTCTTAAATGACACTGTAGAGTCTTAGATGACAAATATACCTGTAGAATCAACAAGTCTTTTTAAGTTGTAATTTTTCATGCATATGACAAGTTGCTAAAAGTTCAATTCTTCGAGCTGACAATCTATTTTTATAAAAAATCCGCGAGCCTTGTCGCCTCCCCGCCTACTTATAATATGCACATAGGAACCGGCTGCATCATCACACAAGGCGTTTGGCTTTTGCCGGTCATGCCACTGCTTGAATTTCTCCTCTTACGGCACAAAGTCCTTTCTTTCAAAGGGCGTTTTATAATATCAAAAGAATTTAAAGTGAAGCGGCTTCCGGCTGCTTAGTTTTTCCCTACGGTGCTGCGGGATTAAAGGCGCAATCCAGACAGGACACGGGATATTATTAGATTTACTTCGCAGTTTAGATCTCGTACGGCCGTGGATGCCTTTGATACGCCGCTAGTTTTAAAAGACTACGTCGGACTGCCGATGGAACTCTATTTCCGGCAGCATAAGAAATTTCCCGTCGTCAATTTTCAGCAAAAAAATCAAGTCAAGTTCTGTTATCATTTAGATGCCGTTTGGTTTATTGCAAAGCCTAATGACATATGATTCCAGAAAAAACAGTGAATGCAATTGGATTTGAAATATAGAGTCGACGTACTTGACACAAAATTGACTGCTACGTTTAATTGACTTAAGATAAGCCTGCTGCCGCTTCTAGAATATCGGCCAACCCGTGGTAAAAGATACGCTGCACGCCTATGGCCTGCCTGTACATTTGTCGTCAAGGCCAGGCAGTTTACTGGTGTCATCGGGAGGTCGAGAGCGAGGAGCGAAACCCGAGACATGTAGCCGCAAATATTGACGTGATTAGAACTTACCAACTATATAATCTGTCTAATAGATAGTATTACCGAGAATAGAAGCTTCTTAATATTAGAACCTCTTTCACCTACACCAAACATTCACAACCCCCTACCCTCAAGTTTCAACCCCTATAAAAATGTTCCTGAAAATGATCAGAAACCTCTGAAACATCTAAAAAAGGTCTTACTGTGCCTTTTGGGAAATGTTTTTAAAAGGCCATACCCACTTGTTTGCTTGCCGTTCGTTGCTAATAGATAAAGATCTCATCTCTTCAGGTACAAAGTACAAGAGTGACATGTTATGAAAAGCTGTATCAGTTATATAAAAACGATCACAGAGAAACCGCAAAGGTACTCGTAACAACATAGAATCGTATAGATAAATTTATTTTGTACCCGTGGTAAAATATACGTCGCACGCCTATGGCCTGCCTGTACATTTGTCGACAAGGTCAGTCAGCTTACTGGTGTCATCGGGAGGTCGAGAGCGAGGAGCAAAACCCGAGACATGTAGCCGTAAATATTGACGTGATTAGAACTTACCAACTAAGTAATCTGTCTAATAGATAGTATTACCGAGAATAGAAGCTTCTTAATATTAGAACCTCTTTCACTTACACCAAATATTTACAACCCCCTACCCTCAAGTTTCAACCCCTACAAAACTTTTCCTGATAATAATCAGGAACCTCTGAAACAACTTAAAACCACGTATGGGCGATTTCTGTTCATTTTTTGTCCGTAACTCCACCACCACTGTATCTATTGTTAAAAACTAGTACTCTTGTGTCAAAATGTTATCAAAATCTGACATCGTCCATATTTTTAACGAAAAAGTTTACTGTGCCTTTTGGGAAATGTGCAACGTCAGATAAGAATGTCCTTGTGCACAAGTGAGTCGGAGACGTTTTAAATTTTTTAAAAGGCCATACCCACTTGTTCGCTTGCCGTTCGTTGCTAATTGAAAGATAGATAAAGATCTCATCTCTTCAGGTACAAAGTACAAGAGTGACATGTCATGAAAAGCTAACAGTTACATAAAAACAATCACAGAAAAACCGCAAAGGTACAGGTAACAACATAGAAATGTATAGATAAATTTTCACGACCAACCCGTGATAAAATATACGCTGCACGCCTATGACCTGCCTGTAGATTTGTCGTCAAGGCCATTCAGTTTACTGGTGTCATCGGGAGGTCGAGAGCGAGGAGCAAAACCCGAGACATATAGCCGCAAATATTGACGTGATTAGAACTTACCAACTATATAATTTGTCTAATAGATAGTATTAGTATTTTATAAACAACGGGAAAAGCCCAAAATTCAGTATTTTGCTTGTACAATGTTGAAATGAAATGTTATGAATAATCGGTAAACCGGATACTTTAGAGCATAAAAATACCTTCAATTTTGTTTTTTAAGAATTAAAATCGATAAACAATTAAGCTAAATACGGGGCTGTTTAGCAATATTGAATAAATGTTGATAACTATTGCAATAATAATTGTACATTACTAAAAATTTGTGAGCATAATAGGAGCCAAGATATTGTTTTTTAAATTCATATCTCCTTTGTTTATAAACGTTAAGTCTCGAAATTTTTCTAAACGCCTCGTACACCGATCGTGCATAGCGTTACGCAACCGGCAAACAAAGCGATGTCGCAATAGACTCGTTTTTGAATGGTCGAAATTATTTTTCAGGTGGGTCTACAAGCGAAGCGCTCGCCGCGTCAGTTGGGATCATAAATAATTCCCTCATGAATTGAAAATCTTCTTTTCTTCGGCGTGATGAACGAAAGGGCGCGTTCAAATTTGAAGGCCCGTTCGTCTCTCATCTCCAGCTCTTTTGTGCGTCTGCTCGCAGATCCGTTATTGTAATGGGCTTATGCCTGGGAAAACGTATTCAAGATTAAAAATAAAAATATTCATCGCAAGATCTCAATCAAAAAACGTAACAATGGTCGGAAAACGAGCAAACATGATGGGATCTGCATGGATAAGTATACAGGCGATACGCTGGGCAATGCTGACTCTCAAGTGTTGTAAAATAGTGTAAACAATGTGTTCATTTGAAAGCTCCCCACCACGGATTTTTTGAAATTTATTGAAAACCATCGATTAAAAGAAAAATCGTCGAAAATCTTGTCAAGGTGGACAACTTTTTCACCAAAAACTACTTCACCTCCTTTCCCCCTTGGCCCCCCAGGGTCATTCCCTTAAACATTTTAAATGACGTTTTATTTTTTAAAGTCAGTCGATTTGTTTTCGAGAAAATTAGAAAAACCTTGAAAGTAAAATCTGAATCAATAAATTAATTTTCACTATCCCAAAATTGTCACAAGTTAAATTCTTTCTTTCCCTTAGTAACCAGTAACTAAACAGGTATAACAATAAATACAGTTCGCCCGCGATGTGTTGATGAAAAGAATGCGGAAAAAATTCAGGTTGTTGCCACGTCTTATCCTTCTAATTTTCTCGAAAACGAATAGGCCGATTTTGAAAAAACAAACGTCAAAACGAAGAACTTCGAAAGTCCTTTCAAACAAACTTAATGGGATGACCTTGGCGGGCAGAGGTTGAAAGGGGGTGGAGTAGTTTTTGGTTGAAAAGTTGTCCCCTTTGGCGTTTTTTCTTTTTATCAGTGGTGGGTTTTCAAATTTCAGATGAACCCTGTATCCGTAGCGTAGCGATTAAAAATAAATCTTCCGTCGTTACATTAACTGTGGAGGACTGAAATTCACCTTGATGCTTCCTTATGGCGTAACACACGATAGACATAATAAATCCAAATACGGATTATACAGATTTTCTAATATTCCTTTCATGGACGGTTTTTCTTCGTCCGCGAATAGCTTGCGGCCAAATCTGTAAAGAAAAAGTAAATTACGGCTTGTATGAAAACAACAGTAAAACTTAAAAATATTGTGTCAGGTTTCCTGGTGCAAATTAACTACATAGTCGAATATCATATATACTAAGTGACATATAAATCCGAACACCCAGTTTAAATGATTTTATTTTAATAAAATTTTGTATAAGTACTAAATGAAGCATAATAAGTAAATGATAAAAATTTCAAAATGATTGCACTGCTTTAAAGCCCTTTGACCTTTAATAATGTGTGGATGCACCCTGATGTGCTACGCATTCTCCAACGCACCTAGGCATGCTTCTGATCAGGTGGTCAACGTCCTCCTGTGGTATCTCATTCCAGGCAACCACCAACTCCTCTCGAAGTGTTTCTAGAGTCTGAGGAGGTCGTTGCAGATTGAGCAATCTCCTACCCATTATATCCCACACGTGCTCAATTGGGGATCAGTCGGGAGATCTTGGTGGCCATGGTAACAATGTGACATCATTACGTTGAAAGAAGTCTATTGTGACTCTTGCAACATGTGGTCGGGCATTATCTTGTTGGAAAGTTGGATCTGCCTGGGTGTCAAGATAGGGTAAAAGATGGGGTTCTAGAACTTCGTGGATATAACGCTGCGCGTTCATGTTACCTCTGATGAAGATTAAAGGTGACCTGGAACCATAAGCTATAGCACCCCAAACCATAACTCCAACAGTGTGATGAACATGTCTTTCAACAAAAAACTGTGGATTCCTCCTTTCACCACGTCGCCTTCTAACCCTGGCACGACCATCGTGCATGCCTAAACAAAATCGAGACTCGTCACTAAAGACAATACTGTTCCATTCCTGATCCCAGAGTGACCGTTGTCTGCACCACTCAAGGCGATTACGTCGGTGTTCTCGAGTTAAAGGGAGGACCCAGTGTGGCCGGTATGAAAACAAGCCAATACTTCTCATTCGTCGGTAAACACTTCGCATGCCAATAGGTCTTCCGTGTTCTGCAAACCATTCATTTGCAATGGACCTGGTAGTGGAGAAACGGTCCCTTAAGGCCAATAATCTTAGGCGGCGATCTTCACGGTCTGTTGTTCTACGGCGGCGTCCAGTGCCCCTTGCTCTTTGCGTACGGCCTTCTCGAAGCCATGCCTGACAACACCTAACCACAGTGTCTACACTTCTTTGCACTCTAACTGCAATTGCCCGAAAAGAAAGTCCAGCTTCCCGAAGTCCCACTATACGGCCCCTATCAAACTCACCGAGTTGACGAAATCGTACAGGTCTCCGTACTCTAGGCATCGTAACCGATCGTAAAGGATGTCAAGAACCAAAATTCGCCAACGTTTATTCTTTACTGCGGCTGAAATATTCATTTTTAGAGCGTTAGTGAATTAAAAAAAAAGCAGTATAAAAAGCGGAATGTCCAACTGATAAGGCTGAAAATTTTTTCACTTGTTATTTACAGTAAGATAAACACATTCACCAACTTTTATTAAAATAAAACCATTTAAACTGGGTGTTCGGATTTATATGTCACTTAGTATATTTTATTATTCATAAAATTATTTTAATATGTTCTCTTTTACAGGTACGTCGAAAATGTGTTGCATGTTTAACGTCAAAGTAAGTACAAAAAAATAGTAGACAAGTAACACTAAACTACCCGATAATTTATTTTCAAGAATTGATAATTTCAAATGCTATCCTGTTCTGAAAGTGCTTCTGTTGGAAGAATGCGTTTGCATCTTAAACTAGAATTAGATAATTTAAAATCGGTCTGAACATTAATTCAGGAAAAATGTAATTGCCAGGAGTAACGCCAAGAAACTTGGCAGAATTTTTCCATGGTACCCGAACTCCATTTACTGAAACCGATCCGCCCATTCCAATGCCTCACCGTACTTTGTAACATGTGAACCATGTTCCCGGACTGAGCTACCAGTGCAGTGTCAGCCATGAGTGAAAAGCGAATACAAGATTGGTCCGAGAACCGAACCTCGAGGGACACCGGCTCTGATGTCTACAAGACATTATTTATTTCGATCCGAAATTTCCTACCTTCAGGGAAGGTTCTTGCGCCACACCTTGTCATATGCCTTCGAGACATCCAGAAGCAAGATGCCAGTACTTTCGTTAACGGTGCAGCCCGCCCCAGAAGCCCAACCGCCCGTAACTCAGACCGAAAGCCAAATTGTACGTCGGGAATCAAAGTTTCACTCATAGAAAAATCTAAACGCTGTACAGGTACAGCTACCGTAGAGCTTTTAATAGCCCATTTTCCTGCAGAAACAAACGTGCCCAACTTGAAATTTTTATTCGAAAAATTCCGAATAATATTTCCTTTGCGCGTTCGCCTTCGAGTAGTTTTCGTGAACCTAGTTATCGTTTGAATAGGAGCGGAACAGCAAGCGACGATCGATTCAAAGCAAAATTCAATGCAGATACGTACGCGAAATCCGGCGAGTTTCTCTGCAGTTAGGTGCCATTATGAAACACAAAAACGCTTAGGACAGGACAAAAAACTGTCCTCGTAATTGCTAAAGTAGCAGAAAGAATCGTACTTGGTGAAATGCTCAAGTTTGCTTCCGAAAATAACGTCTTACCAGCATGATATCCCGCCAGGTCGTTCTATCGTTAAAAAACCTGCTAAAAGTTTCAACGATTGGACTAAAATTCCTGTAGATACGCACAGTGGATAAAGGCTTTCCTTAGTAACAGAAAGTTCACGACTCGCTGATCAGTAGTGCGGTGACTTGCGGCGTTCCCCACGGTTCAGTCTTGGGACCCTTGCTGTTTCTCCTATTCACTTGTATGCTGACGTCACGAAGATGCACGATATTTCCCGCGCATATCATAACATCCTTCAACGCGACCTCGACAACGTTTCCGAACGGTCCAGAAGATGGACGCTGCATCTCAACTTGGAGAAATTCCGTTAGAAAGAACATCGGACCAGGAAATCTCCTCCGTCTCCCGTCACATAGAATTGGTCCGAGCATATAAAGCACTCAACGAATAAGGCCAAAAGGAGTCTATACCTTATTGAAAGATCCCTTAAGGTCGTTTTTCTCTGGACCAATTTTCAAAAACTACAAATATTCTTCGTCCTGACCGGTACTTTCCAAGTTGTAGATCCAAATGTAATATCCAAAAAACAATCTGATTTTCGAAATATTACGCGATTATACCTTCTCAACAGTAAGCGTGGCGAGTAAAAAACGGTTTACCACATCATCGCTGTCAAAAATGACATTGAAACGTGTTTTAACCCAGTAATGTCGCAGGAATACTCATCGAATATCAAGCCGCATCAGAGGTAAATGCCGTATATCATCCATCCCAGCGTGTATACTGTGGGAGTCTTCATTCTTCGTTCATTGAACCATAGCTAAGGTGTACGTACATACGTTCGTATAGCCAGACGCGAATGCACGTTTCTTGGAAGATATGTGTTACTAATGGTTGAGGAAAATGCATGTTATCTCGACGCCAAATGAAATGGACATGGCTGCACCATCGTAGATTGCACGAATAATAGAATCGGACAGTAATACTTGCATTCTGTTGAGTCTTCTTTCTAAGTTCAAACCGCATCCACTACTCGTCAATACCTACATAAGCGAGGTACGTTTCCATTTCAACAAGTTGCAGGCTAGATTCTATAGAAATACTAGACCAATTCTAGTTTAATACCTTTCAATGTACCATCATGGCGACAACGGCACAGTTTAGATATTGGATTGTCGATTGTTTAACCGGTCGTTATTCCGTTATTCTGAGTATAACAAGGACACGATCCGCACGACTTTCATATTCTTCTCTGTCCGACGCGATGGTAATTTGTGGCAATGTCATTGTGAAGCTTTTTCTTGCAATGCTGTGTTTGTTCTCTTCTGCCATAGAGACAAGACAAGACTTCGTCCCGTACACAAGCGTAGACATAATGCTAACATTCTGGACCGTTGTCTTTGATGAAACAAATAACTCTTTGAGACATGACGTCAGCATGAGATGTCGTTTAAACTTCGTTCTCATTTATTAATCTGTCTATTTTCGGTAACGTAGCACTAGAATCTAAACTCAAAAGAGGACAAACTAACAATCAGAAGCTTCTCCATGGCCGGATTCATGGAATAAACTGAATCGTGATCGTGTGAACTGCCCACGACTCATTCTTTTTATCTGTCAATGGACTCTCAACCTTTTCGTTGACACATCACTAGAGATTGAACTTAAAAGAGCACAAACTGTCAATCAGAAGATCCTTCATGGTCGGCTTCATGAGGTAAACTGAATCGTGATCGTGTGAACTATCCATGACTCATTTTCTGTTTGTCCATGGTCTCTCGACCTTTTTGGTTACATATCACTAAAGTTTGAGCTTGAAATAGCACAAACTGTCAATCAGAAGCTCCTTCATGGTCGGCTTCGAGAAGTAAACTGAATCGTGATCGTGTGAACTATCCATGACTCATTTTCTATTTGTCCATGGTCTCTCGACCTTTTTGTTTACATATCACTAAAGTTTGAACTTGAAAGAGCACAAACTGTCAATCAGAAGCTCCTTCATGGTGTGCTTCAAGGAGCAAACTGAATCGTGATCGTGTGAACTATCCATGACTCATTTTCTATTTGTCTCTCAACCTTTTCGTATACATATCACTAAAGTTTTAACTTGAAAGAGCACAAACTGTCAATCAGAAGCTCCTTCATGGTCGGCTTCATGAGGTAAACTGAATCGTGATCGTGTGAACTATCCATGACTCATTTTCTATTTGTCCATGGTCTCTCAACCTTTTTGTATACATATCACTAAAGTTTGAGTTTGAAAGAGCACAAACTGTCAATCAGAAGCTCCTTCATGGTGGGCTTCGAGTAGTGAACTGAATTGTGATCGTGTGAACTGCCCATGACTCATTTTATATTTGTCCATGGTCTCTCAACCTTTTTGTATACATATCACTAAAGATTGAACTTAAAAGAGCACAAACTGTCAATCAGAAGATCCTTCA